TACTCGTGTTATAGCATGTTATTTATTTAATTAATTTGCTTATACCAACCATACAAAAGGAGCATAACTTTGAATTTCGTAGATATGAAGACCGAGCTGGTGTGGCCTTCCGTTTTGTCGCAGTCTCTTTAACTAACACTAGGAGCTACTTTTCTTCTTCTTTTTGTCTTTATTGCATGAATGAGATCGATCAACTCAGTATGCTCTCTATTTCTTGAGTAAAAGTCCATTTAAATAATAGCCTGAGGTTTCATTAATACTCTTGAATGGATTCTGTATCTTTACCAATATATGAAGATTTCTCTATAAATACGTCCTAGTGTTATGCTCGCTTGAGTATAAGAATCTTACCCAGATATTTTATTGAAAAATTAGCAACTTTTCGGTTTTACTACTCCTGATTTTGCCGATAAATATTTATATTGATATTAATAGTAATATTAACATAATTTTAATATTGCTTTTAACTGTATTATTTCTATCGTACTTTGGTCGAGATTACCTAAGTTCCGAATTTAATACTGATATTTAGGCGCTTCGACTGTTCAGCTTAATCCGTATGATGCTTCTTCGCTAGACGGTTTGCGTGTTTCATCATGTGGTGGAAGAATACAGGCGATTAGTGGCAAATACTGGCAAGGCATTCGAAGTAATATGGTATGTTTGATTTTAAAGATCACTTCAAATTTATGAAAAAAGATTTTTTTTCGTTGAACTGCAGCCGTTTGTCTTTAATACGGTGTTCAGGTTAACGCTGTCCACGAGAACTCCCCTGCTTCGCAGGAAAACGGGCTGGGATTTCACCTATCATATGATGGACATCCTCAGAGCTGGAGCTCATTCTTTTAAAAGTCTCCCCTTAACGATAGGACAAGAGAACTATCCAGATCCATTTTATGGAAGAGCTCATGGATTTATTTTTTTATAACGAAGTCAATGGAATTAAATCTTCCTCATAGAACCTTTGATGATTACTTGAATCCCTTTTACTCACATGGTCTTTACAGCAGAATTGCCCATTTATTAGTAGTGAACTCATAATATTCTCCGAGCAAACTCAGTGTTTTACGTCAGTCGTATCTATCTTTTATGCATACTGTAACATTATTTATTTTTCTGTAAAGATGCTTTAAAACCATCAGGCTCCATGATCATTAGGCTTTTTTTATTGTTATTGCTTTTTTATATGATTTGAGAAAAGGTTTAAGTTTCACTATGCAGCGAATCAAATAATTAGAAATCCTTATCTTTTTATGGGGCTTAGATGACTCATAATTGAGGATATGAAGACCAAAATGTTGTGGCCTCTAGTGTGGTCGCAGTCTCCTTATGATTTATAGAGGTGGGTTGACATTGTTGTCGCAACTTTGTCTTGTTGTCAGGGGGACAAGTAGAAAGCACCTGGTCCGAAGTCGTCTACCAAAGTGGTTTTCATGAGTCCCAGTATCAGTCAGTAGACTTGGTACATTCTCAAACGTTTCGCCGACATCGTAGTCGGCAACATCAGTGAGTTTTGCCATTCGCCGCTCCAAGCTACGAACTCGTCAAAGAGACAAGTGAAGTCAATCCCTCGACAAACGTTCTGCCGAAAACGGTAACACTATCACTCCTCTTTCTCTTTTGGCCTATCTATCTACTCTTTACTCTCTTATCCGTCCGTCTAGCCCCCTGACTCTCAGGCCCCCAAAGTTGTACTGGTTTATTCGAAACGGACATCACCCACTAACAACGTCTTCGCTTGACTGCCTAAACTCCCCGCCCCCCACTTTCCTCATCGCGATCACTTTTGCTCCGGTTAGCAATAGATCCTTGATCCAGGTATCTCCGTTTTGATGGTCTTGTTTTTTCTCAAGCTTGCTTAGGCAGTAGACAAAGTTATCGCTAACTCACCTTCCTCCGATCTCCTGTTCATTAGATTTTTCTCCCCAAGGATGTCAATGGCCTCCATTATCTCCCGATTCCTTGTGTTGTCACCGTATGGGGCTCTTCTTTCTGTTGCCTTTCAATTGATCTCGTGTCCAGTCTGTGCAATGTGTTCCGCTAGTTCTGATCTTT